AGTTAAGCTGAATTGAGTCCAGTCTATCTGCCCACAACAGTCCATAATAAGGATCAGAATCCTAGATAATTTTCTCTTTTGACAAGATCCCAGATCTCACCCAAAGAGGAAACCCTGAACGAATAAAGGCAAGAAATCTAATCTCCATCCAAAAGGAGAAATCTCCTACTAAGTAGGACTCAGAGTCCTACTAGGATTCGGACCCTTTGGGTTCACTATAAAAACAAAGGAAAACCCTCTCATTCAGCATTCAAAAATCAGCCCTAAGTTCCAATGTTTTTGCTTCCAAGCTCTTAGCAAATTTTGACAGCGTCCAGACGTTCCAACCTGAAGAGCTGGTCCACCAAGATTGTTAGTGGCTCATATCAGAAGATCCTATTTTTACAAGTTTGATTGTAAATTTTACCGTTTACAATATTATCTATTAATCATACATAAATAATTTTATAAAATTAATAATATTAACCTAGAATTAAAGTTAATTAGGATAACGTTGACATGTGAATAAGGGAAGAAAATATGTGACACTAATTCACATATCATCTGGACATGGAATGACTAATTCACATATCATCTGGACATGGAATGAGAATATGTGAATTATTCTTATTCCTAATTATGCTAAGATATAATTTTCTTTGTTTATTATTGAGATTGTATTATTATTTGTAATATTTTATATCCTTACATAGTTATAACACTTTTGTATAAATAGGTTGTGTATTCACAACTCAAATTGAATAACTCAATACAATTAAATTGAATTTCTCTCAAATATCTCCCGGGCATACTCCCGCTCTCTTCAATTGCCTCTCTTGCCCTCTCAATTCTAACAATAATGATTCCTAAACCAAGTAATAATATAATAACATAATTATAATCTATAATTTTTTATAGATATAAAAACATATTATGAATATAAATATATATAGAAACTTTTATTTAGATATAATAAATTTAAAAAACAAACACATGATTACATAACTTAAAACATTAGTGTGTTTGATTCAATGAATGTTGTACTGGGAATGTTATATTAATGGGAAGATATATTATCTTGAAAATTACCGGAAATGTTATATTAATGAGAAGATGGATTACCTTAAAAATTACTAGGAATGTTATATTAAATGTGTTTGGTTAGACTGGAATAAATTGATAGGTATGTTATATAGATTACTAAATTGTTGTTCTTTTTTAATATAAATATTTATTTTTTTAAACCCCCTACATTTGAGATTTTGCTAAAACACCCCAACCACAATAAAAGTTTAAGTTTTAACAAAAACATCCCCACCCACCCAAGCCAATACCAGTCGTTGGCCACTACTACTGGTCATGGCCTAAACGGTGCACGACTGACCTGATATGGCCAGCCATGAGCCTATCCGGTCGTGGATCTAACCAAAAAGAAACAATCAGAATAGATCTAGCCGTTTCTTTCCGACCAAATCAGTGCACGGTTGGCCAGATTTGATCGATCATGCGTCATTCCAAGGACTGTCAGTAGTGGTGGCCAGATGAGGTTGTGGGCTTGGGTAATTTGGTTGAGGTACAAGGGTAATAATGTCTTAAAAATCTTGTGTATACGGATAAAATAGTCTATAAATATTCTTGTAAATTTTTTTCAAAACAAAGGCATTAGTGTCCAAAAATTTAATTTATTAAAGGTATAATTGTAACAAAATTAAGATTACCAAGTAATCTTAGAATACTTAAGAAAATTATGATATTTAGATTACTACTTATATAATCAATAATGATTACTATAAGTGTTGGAAGATTACTGAAATCTTATATTACTTGACAACCAAACATAATAATATTGATAATATAACAACATTATTAGAGTAACTGGAGATAACCTCCAACCAAAAGCACCTTAAGTATTAAGTGAGACTAAACTCTATTAAGTGTCTAGGAAAAAACAAGCATCCCCTAGAGTTTTAATTCTTATACCATTGACTTTAAAGTAGAGCCAACAAGAATTATGAACATTTAAAGCTATTCTGGCTAACTCCTAGGTGTCTGACGAGAAATATAATTGCAGGATTCTTCATCTTCCCTGACCTTTGCTTTACTGAATTAATAGATGAGTTACGCTGTGGGTCATTTTCCTTGTGGGTTTGGTACGAGGCAGAGAGACTGAGGATGGCCAACCATTAAAATGCTGTCAACCTTTATATCTACAATGAAATAAATAAATGTATAAATAATTAAAATCATCAACAGTGCCCCCCAGCACTCCACTATTGTGGAGAAATTAAAGTGTTTTTTTTTTTTTTTTCTTATAAAGAATTTCTTTAAGAAAATCATAAACAAAAGCCAAGCATAAAAAGCTTATGACATTTATATAAATACTATAGTGTTCAGATTTCAATTTCATGATAAAAAATTGTAGTTCCAAATCATGTAATAAAGTCACATCGATCAACAAAGATAATGGCTAGAAACTTAATCTGAAAATGGGGGATATGTTAATGGTATGGAGACAAAGTATCTGTGGTATTTACTAAATTCAAATGAATAATCGATCACCTATGAATAAGTTATACAAGAAAAAAAGGGGCCCTGGGGGCTGGGTGCCTGCAAATATACCTGAAGAAAGGAGGAAAATAAGGTCACAGAAGAATGAATTGCTTCTGGCAGGCATGCATATCTATATTCATATTGCTTTGTTTGTAGCAAATAGATTTAGAACACTTCACGTGAATTTAATCGTCTTTATAGTTTATAGTCAATGACACTCTTAGGTTTTGCATTATGGCTATGACATGCTTTGCCCTACATGGCTACCTGTCCAATTTCGCTAACAGATTATCATCACTTGCATTTATCTCAACCAATACTTTTCGTGTTTCAAATCTTTTAATTGTAGAATTTTTATGTTCTTATTCGTCTCGTTCGTTTCTTTTCTTCGTAAATATAGCGAACAACATGTCGGCCAAACTCCTGTTGTATGTAGACATTAAAATCTACAGTTACGGAATGAGGTCTAATCCTGCGAGGTTGAGGTCACTAACAATCCACTAAACCTGCACACAAAGAAAACAAGCGCAAAGCTTACATAAAACACTGGTGCGGTGGCTGCCGTAGGCACTCCAACACTTAAGTCAGTAAGGTTGAATGAGGCTATTTAGTGAGAGTTAGGGGAAGGAAGGGTTTACCGGAGTCTAATCGGAGAATAGAGCTAGAGCGAAGGTGTTAGTTCTCAAGAGCAAGAAATTTGATTGCGTGTAGATGGTATTGAATAATTGATCCTCAATGAAAGGCATGAACTCTCTTTATTTAGAATCCTAATAAGACTTTGAGTCTATAATGGCAGAGTTCTATTAAATATGAAAGAACCTGATTTACTTGCCTTTGTAGGATTGAGAGTCGTAATTCACATAAGATACAAGATCTTGAGTGAATTAGAATAAAGACTAAATAGGAAATAGATATATTATTCTTTTAGTGGGATTTCGGGTCCTTAAAGGATATTGTGGAAGAATGGGCCTAGCTGAGAGGCCAATGATGAAGCCCAATCTGGAGAGAAGCTGGGTTTAGGCCGTGAGTCTGACCCATGATAGGAACCTTGATGTAGGCCCAACCAGAATTAGCCCACAGCCTTGGACCACTTGGTAGATGTTACATGCTTGGAATTCATAAGGTCCAAAACGATTTTTAGCTCATACACTGTATTAGTATGTAAAGAAAGACCATATATTTTTATATGTATGCTTCTTTATGACTTATATATATCCAAAGGTAATTTTTTCTAAATGAGTAAACGATCAATTTGACCATCCAGATGAAGTGCTTATGATGAGAGAGATTAAAACTAGACGCTGGAATATAGAATACACCTAGATAACTTTGCGTGACTTTTAGCTAGTGACATTGCCCTGGATGGTCAATGGCAATTTTACTTAATATTTGTCTGTTTTTTAATTTTTTATCTTTTATAATATGCATGCATTTCGATTTATTGTTTCTTTCTAGGTTGTGCCAAAAGTTAAGCATTATGCCAAAGAATTCTGTATACAGATTCTTATAATTAGTTTCAATATAATATATAGTATTTAGTAATATTCAGTTATTTTACGAACTTTTCTTCGGCCCAATATGTTCTTTATTTGGACAATTCAAGAAATTTGTAGATTGTCTTGTGCACGAAATATTGTCCTTTATGTAAATGTTATAACATTGATATTTATTTGGTTTAACGTCTGAGTCTTGTCTTTATCCTTTTATTTTATATTTGTCGATCTGATTAAATAATTTGGCCATTCTTTATTCCACCGGGTTAACTAAATTCAGATTTTACTAACAATTTTGTATACCGGAATCAAGTAGTTAAATTGTTAAAAACAAACAAATTGGAGTATACATTTCGACTTTCGAGGGATTTATCTTTAATCTTAGGGCTGCCACAGAGACAACGATGATCCACAGCATTCTCAATTTTGATATAAATACGTTTTATATATGGCAATAATACAGCCCAATTATGAGTTCAAAATGTCATTAACCTTCTTATATTCGGTGCTACATTACATCCAATATCCATACAAATTTTTGGGCTTACACGTCTTGGGCCCAACCTAAAGCTGGCTCATGTGACGAGAAAATTAATAAAAAGGAACAATTCCACCAATCGTGTTTTTTAAAATTTGGCATTTGAAAATTAAGATCAAGAAATTATGATGAGTCTTTGAAATGAATCCAAATATTTTGACCCTTTATATTCTGTTGTGTTAGCACCTTGTGCAATAGATGATGATGCAATTGGTTCTCCATCTATCTACATGTTTTTATCTGAGATATTTAGATAATTGTTTGCACTAAGATCCTAAACATTAACTTTCAAAGGAATTTTTGTTGCCACTTCCAAAATATTAAATGTGGACTTTATCAGATCGTCCCATAGTACAATTTACACGAATATGGCTAACATCATCAACCAAATCTAACAGTTATACATCAGTCACTGAATTGAATTTAGTCCTGTGCCGCTAAAGATATCTCAAACCAACAAATATTATAGCATGCCCTCAATTAGTACAAAAAAGATGAGGAAAAAATTACAACCAATATCAGCTACAAATCAATCAGAATTTGATCCATGTTTATCTATGCTTTTGAAAACTATGCATGAATAGTTTAGGCAAACAATCATAGAGGTTAAAAAACCAAGAAATGCTATGAACAATACGAGTAAAATTAGATATGCATGCACACACACACACACGATCTTTCTACAGAAAAATAAAACAATCCAATGAGATTAGAGGATTATCAATGTCCTCCATGGGAATGCACTCACTCTCATGCTGAGCTACTGCTTCTCCCGCTGCAACTTCATCAATTTTAGAACCAATTCTATAAGTGCAAGTATCTCTATTCCTCGAACAAAGCCGCAATCCCATTGAATTATTGTTGCTTGGACTTGCAGGCCTGAAATTTTCTTTTCTTAGAGAAGAAGAAACGGAATTTATTGCATTTACCTTTGCTCCAACCACTCGCTTTGAACAACTTTCTGTAGTTGTATTTGTCAAAAATCCCCTGTTACTTTCACCACTAGTAAATCTCCTACTAGGAGATGGTGATCTCAAGGTTCTACTCGGCAAAGAATACGAAGAATTTTGCCTCTCTGGTTCCATACGAAAGCTCTTTTGTCGCGTTAAAGTAGTTGGTGAGCTTGACCGGACTCTCTTTTGTGGTGTAGAACCATTTATCCTTTGTGGGATTGAGTGTTTGATCGGCGTTGGTGCCAGAAATGATTTAGCAGGTGAATCAAACTTTTGAGCATGAACTTTGGAGGTTGCTAAAGAGAGAGCAGCTTCCTTGATGGAATTAATGCGAACTATATGCGGATTCTCCTTGACACAAGACCAAAGAAACTCATTGGAGAAAGATCTATCTTTGGAGCTCAAGACGGAAGATGCAGTTGAGATTGATGAGCATGATTCAGCAGTGTTGCCTGTACTGCAAGTAAAGGAAGAAACAGACGAAGTACAACTGGGAAGTGAAGAAGGAGATGGGGAAATTTTGTTTGAGAGATGAATTGGAGTTGGAATTTTGGGAGCTTGTGAGATGACAAGCTTGTCTTGAACATGGTTTAATTCTTCTATGGAAATTTTTGATTTCTTGGGTCGAAATTTGCTTATGCAACAACCCATTGTTGTTGAAATTGAATGGAGATGAAGAGGCAAATGAGAATAAGAGTGTAAGTTGATGGAAGATGAGGTAACATTTTTTTTTTATATATATAGTCTTGGTGTTTGTGTTTGAAAAAAGCTTGCAAAGAAAGATTGGAATTTGCTTTAGTTTTCACCTTTTTCAGATTTTTGAAATTGGGTGCCGGGAATGAATCCGTTGTGCAACGGTTAGGTTGTGGAAATATGGCCCTTTGCTTTACCATTTAATCATGTTTCATAAACTTTATGCTGCTACTGTTAAGTCCACTACCAAATAGAGGCTTGGGCTCTACATTTTGGGCCTATCACCAACCCAGTGGTACATTAGATTTGTTTTTGAAAGCTCAATACAGTGTTCTATGGAATCTAAGATATGAAAGCCAGGAAATTGTAGTATCTAGAAATTTAATTGGGCCTGATCCAATGCTGTATTACATAAGACTTTGGTTGGTTAAAAATTATACATGAACAAAACAGAAAAGTTTGATTAGTTGAAGAAAACTGTCGTTCTTAATTAACTTAACTGAGCCTGCTGACTGTTGTCTGTTGATGCATAGAGTATTAGGATTTACAGGAGTATTAGTTAATTATTAGTAGGAGGTGGCAAACAATTCAATGAATTGCGAAATCATAACCCTATAATGATAGTGACTGCATCTTTGAAAATTTGAACAAAAATAATATGACTTGACCACTCAAAACTGCATATTAGATATCTTCTCGATGATTTCCTAAGATACATTGGACTTACCTAAAGAGTCAAGCACAATTGTCCTCACGATTGTTCCTCTACTGGGCCCGTTTGAGCCAGATATTTTATCTCCTCCAGCATGGTTGGCGCCACCTTGGCTACTGGCCTCACTCATCTTCTCTTCACTTGGTAGCTAAACTAAGACCAGTAAAGATTATAAAATGAAAAATGAAACTAGAGACAAGTTGGTACGTTGAATCGTCCCAGACAGGAGAGCGCTTGAAAAGTGTCACTTCTTGCCGCTATTTCTGGCCCAATTAGTAAAAACTTCGTTGTCATGATATTGAGAGCCTAATTTAGCTCGAGGGAAAAATTAACAAATTAGGGGCTTGAACTTGAGCTTGCATCTAGATGCTTTTACTTCGATTTTGAAAGAAAAAAATGAAGTGAATTTGTGAAAACAATAGAGAGAGCTCATGGTAATCTCCTGAGGCTTCACTCATTGAAATCTTCCACAATTCATTACTTATGTCACCAAGTATGCGTCACCAGATTCTACTGTTGCAGGCCAGAGTGTCTAGATACAGAGAACCAGTATATTAATCTTAATAGATCATGCATCTTTATCCATTGCAATCTTGTGCCCGCCGACCCATCTCTTAAAGTATTCTCTTTGCTTCACTTATTTTAATATTGTTAATAACCCTTTCTAATCATACAACTTATTTGCTTTAATTAATTAATTTTTTTTTTTTTTTTTATAATTGGGATATTGGGTTATTTTGCAACACTTTAACTAATCTTCAAAGTTTATTGAATATCTTATAAGTCTAATATTCTAAGTAAACCACAAATATAATATATGGCTCTAAGATGATTTGAACATAAAAAGTTAATAAATGAAACAAATTTTTTTTACTACTACACCAGTTTATTTGCTTTAATTTTACTTAATGCAAGAAGAGACATATCCCACAATTGGCAAGGACACGGCTCTCTTAAAAAACTTCCTTTCTCTTTCTAATTAAGATAAAATGTAATACAGCTTGCATCAAACAGCTTGATTGATCCAAAAATCTAAATCACGTTTTGAAACTACTGGTGCATATTATAAAATAAAAAATAAAAAATAAAAATAAATGGTAAACGTAAATCATTTGGGAATCAATCTTTCATCATTTAAAAATCTAAAGAAAAGGATTATATTAAATAAGTTTCAAGTTTCAGCCATGTATTATCCAGGATTTGAATGAGTGAATCTGAGTAGTCTAAACAACCTATTGATAATCGAGTGGTTTGATAAGAACTTTTAGCTATATTACTCAAGAGGTCTTAAGTTTGAGTCCTTCATCAGTTTCTAGTAAAAGTGGTCACTATAATTCTTACTTAGCCAATAATTTCAGGATTCTAGTAGATTAATTAAGGTACGTATAAATTAATCTAAACACTTGTGGTTATAAAAAAAAAAATAAAAAATAAAAAAATCTGAGTAGCCAACCCAGTCAACAAAGTTATAGTTAAAACCTGAATACAACATTAGATACGTTACAAGTGAAGAAATCAAAATTGTTAGACCCACAAAGATCTGGGTAAGATTTTATTTATGCCTTTTCCTTGACTTATATCGCACAGAATCTCCAATTATATTAAAGCAAGAGTTTCTAGACACATTGGCAATGATGAATGAACCAGTAGCTAAGTCTCCTGCACTTAATTATCATTCAAACTTGAAACTAAAAATCTTATCTTTAATCAATAACATTCTTGAAATACATCAAGTAGGAGGTTAATTTGATTGTTAAAGTAATTTCCACAGTTAACGTAATTATCAAATTCATAAATCTAATAATTCTAATCCGTTCCATAACCTATAGTATTAGAAGGAGTTAACTATTAGGGTGTTTTTGGTTTCGAAAATGTTTTATTATTGAAAAGATACGATTACTAGTAAAATAGATTACAATTATTAGAAATGTTATATAATACATTTAGTTAGATTAGTGATTATAAATAATTAATATATTTGATTGGGAGGAATAAAAGAATTCTGGAAAAGCTTTTTACTTAATTGCCTTTCCTTTTTAATACTATTAGAGTGCATTTGGATCATATAATATTTTATTATAGAAAGATATTATATTAATGGAAAGATAGAACACCTTGAAGATTACTGTGAATGTTTAGGAAATGTGTTTGGTTGGTTCGAATAAATTGGTAAGTAATATGATTAGTTGGGAGGATAAATGGATGGATATGCTATATAGATTACTAAATTGTTCTCTTTTTTTAATATTAATATAATATTATTCTTTTTTTAATTCTTTTTTTTAACCCCCTACATTTGAAATTTTGCCAAAACACCCTAGTAATATAAAACCTTAATTTGTAGCAAAATCACCTCAAGCCACTGCCAACAGCCAACCACAACTTTCGGCCGTCGTCGAAAATCAATGAAATGGCGCACAACCGATCGTATATGGTCGGTAGTGAGCCGGCAAAGCCATTTCCGGCCATGGATCACAAATCCATGGTCGTTTCATGGCCAAAGATGTGGCCAATAAATAGTCATAGAAATGGCCGAAAATTGCCTTAATGGCGCATGACCGGCCAAATCCCGCCGGTCGTGCACCATTACGACAACTATCGCCAGCGGTCGGCAGTAGTCTTAGGTGGCTGAGGGTATTTTGTTAACTTTTAAACTTTTTTTGTGGTTAAAGTGTTTTAGCTAATTTCTCAAATGTAGGGGGGCTGGATAATTGTTATTTGGTAGATATTTGAGGGCAATTATGTCCGAAATGATATTTAATTAAGGGCAAAATAGGAATAAAAATTAGATTACCTTGGTAATCTTTTAATAACAGCCCCTGAGAAGGGTATCTGTTACCCCTACATTACCAACAGTAAACACTATTTGCAATAAAAGATACTCATAATATTTTATTACTTGCAAACCAAACACCGGAATCATGCAAAATAAACAAAGATTACCTCTGTTATCTTATATGCCCCCGATCCAAATGCACCCTTATTATATTATTATTATTTAGAGTATTATTTTAACCCCCTACATTTGAGAATTTAGCTAAAACACCCCAACCACAATAAAAGTTTAAAATTTAACAAAATACTCCCAACCACCCACGACAATTGCTAGCCACGGACGGCAGTAGCCAAAATGGTGCACGACTGGCCGAATCTGGCCGTTCAGACATCTTGGTGGATAGGGGTCTTTTGTTAAATTTTAAACTTTTATTGTGGCTGGGGGTGTTTTAACTAAACTCTGAAATGTAGGGGGTTTTAGATAATTGTTATTTGTAGACATATGAGGGTATTTGTGTCCAAATTTTTTTTAATTAAAGGTAAAACAGGAATAAAAATTGGATTACCCCAGTAATCAAAGAATAACACCCCCTGAGTTAATAATTTGATTACCCCCTATATCACTTACAATACTTACTATTAATATTGAAAGATTATCAAAATCTTTTGTTACTCAACAACCAAATAAGGAAATATTCAGAATCAAAGATAAATTACCGAAGTAATCATCCTATACCCTTAACCAAACACAATCTTAATGTAGTCAGTATTTCGTACTTTATCAATAAATTTTTAAGTTATTTTTGTTGTGTAATCGATATCCCTAAGAAAGTTACCTATTAGAATTTTTTTTTTTTTTTTTTTTTCAATCACTTCGTCATGACTGATGAGTGTTTTGTTAGATTATTATCATATTCGCGTTTGGCTAAAGTGTCAAGACTGTCAAACTTTGAACAATATTAAGGATGAAAATATATAATTTAAGATGTCTAAATCACTAAGACAGACAAATAATGAGTCCATACGGCGTATCTATTGGATATATTGCAAATGATCTTCAAAACACCCAATTTGACCAAATATAAATTAATAAGAATGGATTATGAGTTGAAGCAGTATAACTAGATCATAGTTATCAAATCGCATATCGTGTCATATATCGAAAACCTAATTTTTAAATTATATATCGCGTATCATATCGTATCGTATTGTAGGACACTTCTTTTTTAAAAAATTAATAAAATAATAAAATTTTCTAAAAATTAATATCATCCTCAAGATTAATTAAAAAAATTTGTGGTATTATTAACTTTAAATTATAGTATTACATAATAAAATTAAGAATTTATATCATTTTCTGTCAACCATTCATATCATTTCTAAGATCAATGTTAATATCTATATTTCTACTTATATTATTATTATCATGCAAAATAGACAATAAATATTTCTCATCACTTTCTCCATGTAAAATGGATAAATTTTAACAAATTTTAGTGAATC